CCACATCGTCTGGAACATAAAACGAGAATGTATAAAGCACCTATCTAGTTAGTGCCTGGCACACAGGACGTGCTCAACAAATAGTCTCATCCCAGTGCTCTGACATCAAGTAACTGAGTCTCTCTTATTAAGAACCTTTCCAAAATACCTCAAATATTTTAGTTGCCTACAAACTCTACCTAAAATGTCACTCACCAAAATAACAGAGGCTAAAGATGTTGAGGGAACAGTGGTTCATCCTGCCTTACTGTTCATACCTAAGCATTACAGTGTTTCTTCTAACACTGATATTAACAGAAGGTCAGAGGAAAATAGGGAGCCTGACTGAAATGTAGGCAAACCGGAGAAGACAGGGCTGGAAAGCTGTGTTGAAGCCAAACTGTGGAAGGTAGACGTTAGGGGCTGAGTTGTGTCTCCCCGAGATTTGTATGTGGAAGCTCTAGTACCTAGTGCCTCAGAACAAGACTGTGCTACAAGATAGGGCCTTTAAAGAGGTGGTTAAGTTAAAGTGAGGCCATGAAGGTAGGCCCTAATCCAAGTGACAGTTGTCACTCTACAAAGAGGGAATTTGGAGGTACCTGAGAGACACCAGGGGGATGCATGCACAGAGGCGGGATCATGGGAGCATGCAGCCAGAAGGCGGCCATTTGTAAGTCAAGGAGAACTCGGGAGAAACCAAGCCTGTGACACCGTGAGCCTCCAGAGTTGTGAGGAGATAAAAGTGTGTTGTCCAAGCCCCCAGGTCTGTGGTGGTTTGGCATGGCAGCCCCAGCAACCTCTTGCTACCAGGGAAGTTCCCTGATTTAGTGAGTTTTACTGACTGGAGTGACGTTTCTAGAAATTCGTTCATTTTAACCAAATCCCTTGGTCATCTGGTAGCATGGATGTATAGGTGTGCTCTGGAGACCAGCAGCATGGTTTTGGAGAGAACAGGGATGTGTGTGTGGCTTGGTTGAAGGGGTGGGCAGTGGGGTTAGAGATCGATCATTACAGTTGTGACCCTCTAGAGATCTGTGGGCAGGGAAAAAAGGTGATGGTGCTTTTGTCGCCTTTTTAACTGGTCTGGAACTTGCTTCTGTTCTGCTTAGGTTGAGTGACCAAGTGATCTGTCTGCGATGACCTCGTCTACTTCAGATGCTTCCCAGCCCAGTGGCTTTTCCTGTATATCAAAACTTCCGTGCTTTACTTCTATCCAGCAGCAACCCTGTTTGTCTTCTTGCTCCTTCTAGCTCATCCATTTGTGGTAACTTAAGTCCTCTGTGCGCAAGACCTTTTCTCTGAGCCCTGCAGATATCACTGTAACTGGTAAGCAGAGAGGTTCTCAGAGGCCCTGAGTCATCCGCGCTCCCGCCCAACCCCAGCACCCTCCCCAGGTGAGCTGTGACGTGATCGATGGCTTCCAGCATGGCTGCTGCTGAGCCCTACCAAACAGCCTCATTCACGCCGGTCTGATGTTCCCAGACCTGCTTGTTCTAAAACCACATGCTCACTTGGCTCAAATTGGTGCTTGTATTTCATGCTTGCCACAGAAATGCCCAAAACAGACGAGAGCTGTTTTAAAACAATTCATAAAATTGGCATCAACGTTGCCAGAGCACAGTTGTTTTGTCCTGAGTGGTTTGTGGAAGTTGAGGCAGCTTCTGTGGCAGAACTGGCGATGGGGAAGGTTCTCGGAGAGGGTCCCCCGAGGCAGCCGTGGCGGCCGGGCAAGCGCAGGCCTGCAGGCCCATGAGTGTGCACGCCGAAGCTGGGGGGGGGGGGATCCCACTAGGGTTCTCCAGTTGACGTACTGTCCCATGCAACACGACGACTTCACATACTCTGTCCCTGCCTCTGTCCTGCAACCCTCCAATTTAACAGGGAAGCAGAAGGCAGCAATAAGGAACTTCCCTATCTTCCCGACACAGACATGTAAACTCGCGTTCGGTATTTTAGTTCTCATCTTATTTGACCTTTCATTAGTTCTCGGTATAATTCCTTCTGGAAACACTGCCTTCCCATGGCTTCTGTGACGTAACCTTCGTTTTTTCCCTTCTGTCCTCATCTGCTTCCACCAGGCTGTTCCATGGCGGAGGCGCCATCTTTGGTCATGCATTTCATCCTCTGGATTCCGTGAGGCTGTCTTACCCTCCGCAGAGTCAGAGTGAAGGCGACTTCTAATGTGAGATGCCCTGTGCGGGCTTCGCCTCTGAGCTCCTGACCAGTGTACCCCGCCATTATCATACTGTCTCTTGCTCATGAAATCCAGGGGCACCTCATGAAATGAAAGCCTAGAACCTCCATCCTGGCCCTTTTCCGGTACTCCTGTCTCTGTGAACGGTGCCAGTGTCTGCCCAGAGGCCCTCGCCAGGAATCCTGGTGTCGTTTTGGTCATTGTCTCCTCCCTGAGCCACCAAATCCAGTCCATCAATAAGTCCCTTTTGATTTTACCTCGTAAGTTTTCTTCAATCCACCCACTTTTCCCCGATCTCTGCTTCTGCACCCCTGCTCCAAGATAGCATGCTCTCCGCCTGCATCTACTCCGGCCCCTCTGGCTATTCTCACACCGCCAGCTTCATCTCTTTAAAGTGCACACCTGATGGTATCAGCCCTGTGCTTAAATCTCACTTGGTATTGCTCTTAGGCTAAGGATGAAGAATCTCAGCATGGCCGCGGGGGGGCAGCCTGACCCCTTCCTAACCCACCCGCCTTGCTCTGCGGCTGCGGCGCTCCCCTCACACCTCCAGCATCTGGACAAAGGTTTTACGTGTGTGTTCTTCTTCTCGTCCCCTTCACACCTCCACATGACATCATCTTCAGGGACCCATTCCCTCCACAGTGTCATGTTCATATCAGGTCTCAGGTTCCCCCTGCCTGCATCCCTGGTCAGACCTCTCCGTCCCAGCCCTTGGGAGTCCTCTGCCCTCCCTCCATTCTGTTTCTATCAGGCACAACTTTGCTTTTGTCAGGAAGGGTTTGGTTCATGTCTCTTCCTCACTAGACCGTAGGCTCCGTGAAGCGGGGACCATGCTGAGTTTGTCTCATCACTGGGTTCCCAGAGCCTACCATGGAGACACAGTAATTTTTTGTTAAATGAATAAAAAAGTTTTAAGAACAGGGTTTAAGTCCCAGCTCTGGGCACTGATTGTCTGGATTCTTATCCCATGGAAAGGCATTTGGCACCTGATCCATCTGTTAAGAGTCTTAAGAGGGAAATAATACAACTTGCAAACGTTGATTGTAGTTTTAAATATTTATGTTCTCACATTTGAAGGTTGAGGTTTATAATTATCACAGTGGAGATGATCCTAAGTCAAGTAATGCCATTATTTTTTTAAGTTTATTTATGTAAGTAATCTCTACATGCAGCGTGGGGCTCGAACTCACAATCCTGAGATCAAGAATCACACGCTCCTCCGAGCCAGCCACATGCCCCTAACGCCATTGGTTTTTTGTTTTTTCTCTCTCATAGGAGATCAGTAGGGGGTGGGAAATACAGAAATGAGAATTTCATTATGAAATCTCACTGCTTTGAAAAGGCGAATGGGGAAAGAGTAACCTGAATAAGTAGATACTTAACATTTTTAGTGTTTTCATTATGAGAATTCTTAGCGCTCACTTAAGGTAATTTGGATAATGGAGAAAGGCAGAAGACAGGAAATCATCCATCTTCCAGCCTCCCAAACATATTTCCCCACATGCTTAAATATTCAGCAAGAACATAATTTTTAATGCCTGCAGGGCAATGTGTCCTGTAGATTACTTATTTATTTATTGTTATTGTCAAAATTTTTCACCATTAGGAATGCTAATCACAGCATTTTTATTTCACATAAATCTTTGTGTGCATAAATGTATAATTTCCCAAAGTTCCCTGACTGGATGGAAGAGTATGTGTGGGAGTGTTTTTTTAGGCTTTAGATCATTATTCCCTCATTAGTCTCCAGAAACATACCAATTCATCTCTCCACCAATAGAGTTAAGACAGTGCACATTTCCCTGCCAAATTGGGGTATCATGAATACACATATACATATAGTCCTATCTAGATGCAGATTTAGTGGGTGGAAGGGGTATTTGATTTTTCAGACTTGCACTTGTAGCGTGGATTGCTCCTGAATTTGAACATTTTCCCCGTTAGCCACTGTTAACTTTTTTCTCTGTCAGTTACCTGTTATCCTTTGCATCGTTTGGGAGTGTTCTGTTTTTCGTATTTACTTATAAAACCCTCTTTACATGAAGCACAGTAACCTTGTCTTCTGTAAAAACCCTTTCCAGATGACCACAAGTTCAAAAGGAGTTTAGAGAAAAGCAGTGTGTGAAATGGGATAATACGGTTAAATTATGCTTTCTCCATAAGGGCGGCTGTCTGCTCTCTCTCTTTTAATTTTGCCTCCTAAATTGCCTGTGTGGGAAAAGAGTCTGGACTTTGAAGCTGGACAGGCCTGGTTTCAGCCCGGGCTCTGCCTGTCTGGACAAATTATTGGCCCCTGCAAGTCTCTGTTACTCTTCTGGGCAATGGGAATCCTTCTGGCCTCGTTTTGAGAGGTCAGAAGCTTACGGATAGTGCCCAGGCAGACGTGGTATTCTCTCCATATTCCCTCCCTTACCATATCCATCAAAGATGTGCTGTTCTGTAAACGCGTACACACGCGTGTATTTTGTTTCATTAAGGAGCGTGCATGTTTCGCTCCACTCGTAGCCAGACGTGCAGTAGTGCATCAGTGTTTGCTGAATAGCTAGCTATGGGAGAAAAGTGCAGAAGAGAGGAGAAAAAGTCTTTTTTCACCATTGGAGTCTGGGAGAGATTTTAACTTGGAAGCTCAGGGATGATATCAGCAAATTTGGCTCGATACTATGCAAGTGGTAGATGATGGAAGACACCACCATCCTGCAGAAAACAGGAACAGACGGCCTCAAATGCTCAGAAATATTTTGATTTTAAACAGCTCCAAGTCAAGTCTCAAAATACTTGCACTCTTTCATTGAGAATTTGTCTCAATCTGTTTTTTCTTTCTTAGGTGTGGCTGGATCTCTTAAAACCTATTGTCAAGCAGATTAGACGTAAGTATATCCCTCGCGTGCGGGCCTTTAACAGTGATGTTAAAAATGAAGCCAGACAGTTTCCTCTTCTAAACGTCATTTGCCCTGTGGCATCCAGCACTGGTGGTACAGATTCTTGGTGTTTTGTTTTGTTTTGTTTTGTTTTTACCCCGTGATTTCCTGTCATCACCCACTAATCCAAGTGCAATTAAAATGTCACTTCTGCAGTTTTAATATTTAACAATTTGGTAATCAAAACCTTGCTTGGAAGATCAAATCTCGATTTAACGACTAGAGCATGCTGTTAATCCCAGCCTAATTGAACTTGCCTTGGTCAATGCCCGTGTTTGTTACTGTCACTTTTGAAAGGGAAGGTGGGGGGGCCCTGTATTCAAAAGATTGGGGCTAGGTTTTCTGTTTTCTGTCCCGTGTCTCCAAAGTCTGGGAAATCAGAGTGCAAGTGTTGTGTGGAAAAAATAAGGTGCCCAAAAGTGTCTTGTGTGTGTGTTTTTCTGAATGGCAAGCAGAGCTGAAGGGAGTCTGGCTTGCATTTACATCGTGTGCCGGAGAAGATTAAGGAGGGCTTGGGAGAGGAGTAAGAAGAGAAGGCTTGCTTTCTCTTTGCCTTCTCCTTGAACCTCAGACCACGACAGTCCCCCCCAACCCCCACTCTCTGCTTTGAGGTCAAGTTCAGAGTCTAAATGCTCCCTCACTGCAGCCCCAGCCTGGGCAGAAGTCTGAGGATAGAAGCAAAATTGCATGCCATCCGTGGAACAGGAAGCACCAGGACACCTTGCTGCGATCCTTTTAATGTCTGACTAAGAAACCCCACTGGGCCACTTCTAGCAATTTATGTGGGGGTAATAAACAGGCGCACCGTGTCTGCAGGACCCTTATGCATTTGTAATTGATGTTGGCAATTATTTGATGCTGAAAATGAAACCACCGTTGTTTGTTTAACGTTTATGGGATGGCTGGCCAGAGACTGAGCATCGGGGGTGGGGGGGGGGGAGACACACGTTGCTGAGAGAAGCCCCCAGGCCTGATAGGTGGGGGTAGCGAAGCATCCAGAATGATGACTTGTGTCCCTGCAGTAACTCCTGGGAAATGCTCAGGGTGGAAAGGTGTCTTTTAGCACGTTGCCAAATGCAGACGAAAGACGGTGTTTGTCGCTGTTGGGTCCACCCTGGATGGGGCTTCTCCTTGGATCCCCATGGGCTGTGACTAGTTGTGTGTGAGACAAAGCTGTCCTCTTGCGTTGAGGGGTAGCATCTTCCTCGCTTCAGGTTTTAGAAGGATCTGAGTAGCCTCATGGGATTCCCCGCGGACAGGAGAATGGGCTGGCCTTCCTGCCTTCCCCATGTTGCTATTGTTACTTTGACCCAGCCTTCATAGGCGAGGGTTTCTGTTACTTGTTAGAGTGGGCAAGGGAGAGGGGCCCAGCATCTCTGGGCTTCAATATGTCTGTGCCTTGTTTTTCTCCTAATTTTGTGTATATTGCCCCATCTTCATTTTCTGTCACCGTTGGGTTTTTTTTTTTTCTCAACTTAAATGTGTGATCACAGATGGCAATACCGCATTATTTTTTGTGACAGTGAAAGGTAGAGCAAAAATACATTTGCTTTTATACAACTGCTGTTAAAATTTGGATTTCATTATAGTACCTTATATTTCATAGACCATAAACTCTTGGCTGTCATTCCAAATGGCAGAACTTGAAAGACTGCTTTGGTGTTGAGCATAAATGTACACATATATGTATATATTTGATATATATAAAATTTGGTACATATATGAAAACAGGCTCTGATTCAGGTTATAAATTATTATAATCTATTTGCTGTTTTGTTTTAATTCTGAAAAGTTACCCATCACCTTGATCCCTTCCCTTCCCTGTCCACCCATCCCAGATCTGCTTCCAGAGTTTGCCTACACCCGTACCATGGTGTAGAAAGGCTTTGGCTGCCAGCCGGGGGCTGGGCCGTGTCTTGTTTTTTTTCTCAGAGCTCAGGGGAGCACCTGGCCACGTAGGTGCTCATACATATTTGATGAACACATCAGCAGCTGTACCTGGTGGAAAGCTTAAAATTCTAAATTGTATAACCAAATGACATTTTCATTTTTCCCTCAAGTTCTCTGACGCCCTCTATTTGGACTAAAATAGCCAATTAGATAAATTTTTGAAGACAGATGCCTGTTTTTACAATCTGGGTACAGTTTAAGTCTTCAGAGGAAAAGGTTAATACCTGAATGGAATAGTCTTGTCAAAGCATTATTTTATAACAGGCAGCTGTGTCTCTCTGACTTGGGAGTATAAATTAGTACCTCAACTACCTATTCAATGACCTGGATGTCAGCAGATGTGCTCTTGTTAGCTTGCAGTGAGACTCGTTATTTGGTGTCTAATATACCCTCTGAAGTCTTTTTCTTTAATTGCATTTGAAACAAATCAATAAATGCTTTCCTGCTTTTCTCTCCCCCCTTTTAGGGCCAAAGCATGTTGTCGTTAAGTTTGTGGTGAAATTCTTTCCACCTGACCACACACAACTCCAAGAAGAACTCACAAGGTTAGTGGTTTGGAAACTGGGTTTTTATTGCCATGGGGTGCCGAGGAGAAGAGAAAGTTAATGTTCTCGGTCGACCGATGACACATTTTCACAGCGTTTCCCTGACCAGCGTCTGCACTGTGCTTCCCCGGGTAACCCTTTGCTCCCAGCTGTGCTTACCAACACGGTGAGAGAGGAAGCACCATGTTTTCCTTGAACGAAAGCTATGCAGTGAAGGGAACCAGGCTTATAACCTCTCACGGTCCTGGTTTCCTTCTTCCGGCCGTCACATCACAGGACAGTTTTGGGGAAGTCAAACTCTGTGAAACCAAGATGTTAACTCTGGGTCTTTTAGTTGCTGCCCTGGGTGGGTGGGCTTGAGCCAGTGATCAGTTTCTTTGAAAGTTGGCCAAGTGGGAGAAGCGTGAGCACGGAGTTAGGCCTGCCCTTGGTCCCTGTGTGACTGGCCAGCTTCCTTGCTCCCTCTGTGCTTCTGCTGACTGCCCTGCTCAGTGCGAATGTGCTGGGTTCCTGTCCAGGGTTGTCCTGAGGAGAAGCAGGATTATGCCCGAGGTGGCTGGAACCAGTAGGGATGCTATGAATGATCACCATCATCACCATCATTGTTTAACTTGCACGGGACACACGGTATACGCTAGAGGAGAGCAGAGCCTGGTGGGAATGCGTGAGGACAAAATGTCTCCCTTTCAAGAGTGCCCTTATGAGTGACCTGCTACTAGTCTGGCCAGCCAAACTCTTCCCACACACGGCTTTCAAGCTGTAACTGATTAGACCAAGCCTATCCTACCCTTCTCCTCCCTCTTGGTGTGGAGCACAGTATCTTGGGTGGTTGACCGTCATTTAGCAAAGGGATGAAGACATTCCGTCAGCAGTACTTAGGAAGGTGGACCCTGTGTGCAAAGTTTCACAGTGGTGAGAAGACAAGCCTGACTGTCACGGGAGCGGACAAAATGATTAAATAAACGAGAAAAAATATCAGATAATGATAAGAGCTCTGTAGGTAATTGAAGGGGGATGGTATGAGAGACAGTGACCAGGTGATAGCTTTAGATGGGCCAGTCTGAGGAAGTGGGATCTCTCTGAGGACGTGATGAGAATCTTTCAGGCCTTTTTGGAGGAAGAGCTTTCCAGGTAGAAGGAACAGCTGGGCAGCGTTCAAGCTCCAGATATCCAAATACAGTTGACCCTTGAACAACATGAGTTTGAGCTGCACACATCCACTTACGTGCACATTGTACACGCACATGTGTATGTGTGGGAGTGTGATAAATATAGTACAGGACTGACTGTAGATGTATTTTCTCTTCACAAGTGGATTTTCTTCATCACGTTTCTCGTCTCTAGCCTTACTTTATTGTGAGAACGCTGTATATAACACGTGTAACTTACAAAATACGTGTTAATCAACTCTGTTTCTGAGTGGTAAGCCGCCTGGTCAACAGTAGTTAAGGTTTGGGGAAGTCAACAGTTACATGCCGTTTTGGGGCTGCGCCTGGGGTCGGCGCCCCTCATCCCTGTGTTGCTCAAGGGTCAGCTGTACCTAAGAGAAGGCTGGCAGGGCAGGAACAGAGAGGGCGACGTGCAGTGAGGTGGCACAGAGGTTGGACGGTTGGTAGGGTTGAAAGTCTAGCTACTATGTGGGTGCTGCAGGACCATGACAGCTGGGAATCCAGTGAGGAAGTCATTGCTGTCGTCCGCGTCATGGTGGTGGCAACAGAGGGAAAACGGCAGGAGTGGAAACGGAGAAGCGTGGTTGCATTTGGACTCTGTGCTGGAGATGGGGTCCATCTGTCCCAGTGATGGGCCGGCGGCAGAGACTGAAGGAATGGAGGGATGCTTAGATTTTGACTTATGCGGCTGGCCGACCGTGTTGGTGACGCTAAAATAGGGAGGGGCGGAGGGAAGCAGGGGCTCGCGGAGGGGTGGAGAGTCAGGAATTGGGTTCTGCCAGCTGATGTCTGAGAGGCCAACCACATGTCACGTGGCGGTGTCAGGAAGGGCGCTGGGTGTACGAACGTGGAGTTCCAGGAAGAGGTGGAGGCCATGGCTCTTCCCACGGCTCTGCGTCTTCTGAATGAGTTGCTGCTAAATGTTTACCTCCACTGATAATCCTCAAATTGATGAAGCCCTTAATTGGCCAGGAAATAGAGGAGCCGTCAGCCTTCTGGGAAGTACGTTTACTAGAACAGTTCACATGGAGGAGAGGCACAAGACGGGCCAACGACAGTAGAGGCTTCCTGTGGTGTTACTGCTGGGGCTACTGGGTCTCGGCATCTGGGCTGGGTTTCCTCTTGTTGGAACGTGCATTGCTCGAAGCTCAGAATATCGACATCAGTCTGAAGGCGAGTCCAGCTGTCACAGGGCATGTGCCTTTGCCTCCTGTCAGTCACTGCACCTCTGTCGTCCTTAGGCAGTTGGTGGCATGAATCCTTGTTTTTTTTCCCTTCCCATTCTACTTGGCTTTGAGTTTTGCACCTTTTCAGTATTTGTGAATCGTTGTCTCTAGAGGCTTGTAGTTTCCTCCCATTCTGGTTTTTGCTAGAAAATTCCATGCAGCTTGGGGCCCGTTAGCCAAGTGTGCCTGGTATGTGGCCAGCTGCTCTGTCTGATCTGATAAATTCCTCAGGTGACACAGGCTCAGCTGGATGTAGCAGCGTTGGGGCTTTGTTGTCTTTTTTTTCTGGCTCCCAGTGTTAATCCACATTTAAAAAACCTTTTCCAAGGAGAGACTCCTTTTGGTGCAAGGGTGAAGAAAATCAATAGGAAATTTTAGAAGCTCTCCCTCGCTTTTGACTTTGTCGCAAGTTGCAGCAGGAAGGGGACCTTCCCGATCCCATGTGTTGCCTCCCTCATTCTCAAATTCCTGTGTAAGCAGAAATTTAATGATGCGACCATTGAGGTTCCAGGCATTTCTCTGCAGCAGATGGGGAGTGGGGGCGGGGGGCTTGGGAGGAGCTCTGTGTGGACAGCACTTTAGCCAAGGGGCATGGGTACAAGACGGTGACAGAGGCAGGTCCGCAGTTTAGGAGATATAAGTGACTCTAGCTCTGCACTTAATTCTCAGGGCCTCCGGAATAGGTTTCAGCTTCCCATTTATGTAGACAGAAGATTAAATGGCACTTCGCTGGTAACCAAGGAGCTGAATTCCTTTCTATTTATTGAACCACACTTTCCGTGGCACTATGTCCTGTTGCCACCAGGGTCCAGGCCTCTAGAAGGAGAAAAGTAGGTGTGCGTTTGAAACGGTGAGGGGGAGGGGGTCTTTGGGAAATAAGTTACCAGGTTTTCTTACTGCAGAGTTCCGAGTCCGTCTTGTTGAGCCCGATGCATTTCGGCACACTTTTGCTCTGGGCGTCCTGTCTTCAGTTGGATCCAGTTTCTCCTTGGCTGTGCTCTTCTTAGAGGTGGTGAGATCCATCAAAACTTGCTGCTCTTCAAGGCCTACTCAGGTGTCTCCTGAGGCTGGCAGAGAAATTTTAAATTACTTTCCGTTGAATAAGGAAAGAAAAATAAAGAGCTCCCAAAAGAAATAAATTAAAATAGACACATTTAAAGCAGGGCCTTAGATTGGTGTGACCTGCAACCCTTGCCGTCCCCAGAAGCCCTCTTGATGAGCCCCGCCGCCATCATCCCTTCCTCCTGCCACCCACCCTGCTGCCGAGGACCCAACTCTGTTTTGAGCTCTTTGCGTTTGCATCATTTACTGGTTTCATTTTATTCCGCGCCTGCTGAGTTAACTGAGCCTTTAGCTCCCGTGAATTTGATTGTGGTTGCTTCAGTATATAGTACGAAAGGTGTTGGTGAATCTCTAAAGTTAGCACTGATTTACAGCTGTCGTTGAGAAGTCAACTGTCAGGACCCGGGAAGGTCGTTCTCATGTTACAAGGGCCTCAGAACAGGAAGACTCAGCAGGACTAAGGAAGACAGGCAGTCTTCAAAAATGCCTAAACGTGTGAGCTTCCGGAAGCCCGTGCTGCCTTGGAGTCCACACGAGAGCATCACCAGAGGTTCCCAACGCCTGTCAGACTCTGACCGTTCATCTGTCCCCGAACATTTCTCCACAAACACAAGACCTCGTGTTTGAACTGGGAGACGGTAAAATATTCAGAATGTAACGCTCTTATGCCCTCGACTTATTTAAAAATTTAACCGGATAGAGGATTAAAGTCTGTAGGGCTAGGAAGTGTTAGGTTCAAAAAAATCGTACCCCTGCTTAATCTAGAAAGATGGTTCGTGCTGCCTCTCCCCTTGTAAACCCGTATGTTGATGTTTGGGTTCTTTTAGATTCTCTGTTTTTTTCTTCCCTTCGACTTCCTAGAGACAGAGAACATGAGAGCAAGAATAAATGGTGGGGGCAGGGGTGACTGGGTAAAGGTCAACTGTTACCAAGTGGTGGTTCTGGGGGTGTTGTTTGACTTGGGTTTTTTGGGGGAGCTGATTACAGAATTGCCTCTAGGTTTTTTTTAGTTCTTAATAATGAAATTTCCTAAGTAACTTAAAAGGGGATTCATTTTTCTTTCTCTCTCTCTCTCTCTCTCTCTCTCTCTCTCTTTTTTTTTAATTTTACTAAGTAAGCTCTACACCCAACGTGGGGCTTGAAGTCATGACCCTGAGATCAAAAGTCGCATGCTCTACTGACTGAGCCAGCCAGGCACCTCTAGTTTTTCATATAAAAGGGAAAAATTGCTAACATTTATTGAATGTTTTTGTTCTAGTCACTGAGCTTTCCATAGGTTACTTCACTTAATGTTTATGGCAACCTCTGTGGTTGATCTTATTAAAAGCCCCTCTTTTTTTAAATTAAAAATAACCTTTCATTATTACAAAAATTGCAGATGTACAGTGTAGAAAGTTAGAACATACAGATAAGCAAAAATAAGGTGAAATACCGTATTCCTGTCACCCAGGGGTGACCATTAGGTACTACGGGAGTGTGATATCCTTTCTGATTTTTCCATATGTACTTTTCGTTTTACCTAATACTGTGACCATACTCAGATTTCCCCATTTGTCCCATAATTGTCATTTGTATCTGCTCATCTAAAAGGAGAAACACCGTAGGACCAGAGTTGCACTTGGTTATGTCCTTTGGACCTCATTTAATCTAGCAGAGTCCCTTCTTTTTTGTCCTTCATGATACTACCTTGTTGAAGAAACTGGACGAGTTATACTATAAAGTATCCCACCTCTTGAATTTGTCCTCGTGGTGCCATTTAGCTTCTTCCTCTATCCTCTGCATTTCCAGAAAACTAGAAGGTAGTTCTATACGTTTGATGGAACAAGTTGGACATTTTGGGCTAGAATCCATCAGAAGTAATGTGTGCTTCCCATTTCATTAATGATGCTAAGATTCATCATTGAATTAGGGTGGTGGTGGTCTGATCTTGCCCCTGCGAAGTGAAGTCATGTTATTTTGTCTCTGTGCAAACATCTAGTTTCCTGAATGGTTTTTACATGATTTAACAGTTCTTGCCAGAGTCTGTAACTTCTTTAGAGGTTGTGGAAGGAGGATTCTTGTTGTTATTAGTTGGCATACTCCTGTAAGGAACTTTGCCTCATCTACTTGGATTTTCTGTATATCCTGAAATGCCACTCCTATTGGAGAGGCAGAGTCCCTGCTCAGTTTTTTGCTTCAGGTTACCAACTATTGCTTTAATAGTCTCCTCCAGTGGTGATACATTCAGTTTTTTCTGCTTTCGCTTTGAATATTGAAATGGACTCATGAATTTTCATCAGTTCCATGTGTTTTGATTCACTTTAATTATTCTTGTTGATACTCAAGTTGCCACAGCATTGGCAGGTGGACGCCCCTTCAAGATGTTTCTCTTACCCCCCCCTTTTCTTTTAAAGATTTATTTATGAGAGGAGGGGGGATAGGGCTAGGGGGGGAGAGAGAGAGTACCAAGCAGACTCCCCGCTGAGTGCAGAGCCCGACCTGGGACTCGATCTCACAACCCTGTGATCATGACCTAAGCTAAAACCAAAAGTCAGACACTCAACTCCCTGAGCCACCCAGGTGCCTCTCTTTTGCCTTTTTAATACAACCCATTTATATTTCAAAGCTGCCTTGCTTTCTAGTTATCACTAGATATTCCAGGCTCATACCCACCCCATATCTGGAATCTACCATTTCTCCATGGACCTATCTCTGTGACCTTCCAGTAATTGTCGAGTGCCAGAATCCGACTTCCAAGATTTGCTACTGAGGTAGCACCTCTAGGCAGTGGGCAAAACTAGCAAATACCCTTCTAAAAATGTAGGAGTTCCTTTTTATTTTTCCAAATCAGTTCTTACATTGCACTGTTTTTACTTAATATCTTTGACTTACAGATACCTCTTTTCTCTTTCACCAAAAATGTTTACTTTATTCTGTAATATAAAAATAACTGTGAAATTAATTTTTACAGATCTGGCAACCGAGCCTTTTGGAAGGACCTAAGTGAATATTTCACCACACAACTTTCCAAGTCGGTTGGCAAAAAAGCTCTCCCTAACCATAGTATTAAGCCAGTGTTATCATCTGAACCTGAAAATTATTTTTTAGTATATTTGATCTGTGGGGGAAAAAACGCACACGTTTGTGACACTCTGCAAAAATTATGTAGAGAGTGGCGTAAGATAGAGTCTTCGATTTTTAAGTGGAGAGAGAGAGCCATAGAATAAAATGTATTCGTTCTCGTGTGACACGGTTCCAGCGCGTCTCTTGGTCCTTCTAGTGACGGTTGAGTGTTGACACTGCAGTCAGTGGCCCCGGGCGTTCATTGCGGCCGGGGCCGACTTCTATTTGCTTTGCTTTGGGTACTTTGCTCTAGTTCTCACAAGTTGCCGGAAGTGAGCCTGACTTTGACACCGAACCTCCCGCCCCCTTTGCGTGACGCCGGCCGGGCGGTGCGTGACGCCGGCCATGTGTATTTCTGCCCGCAGGTACTTGTTCGCTCTGCAGGTGAAGCAGGACCTGGCTCAGGGCAGGCTGACCTGCAATGACACCAGCGCGGCTCTCCTCATCTCACACATCGTGCAGTGTAAGTGGCGTCCGTCGCTTCCCGAGGTCATGCGGGAGCCCGCCGTGATCTGATCGGTGGGGGGGAAATGATCACATGCTCTAAACACAGTAATTATGCCTTTGTGCTGTTTTGCTGTGAGCATGAGTGCCAGTGGGTTGAAGACCATACTCTTCATATTTGATGGGTGTCCGCACACACCCCCCACCGCCCCCGCCCCCAGCATTGGCCTGTGAATTCTGTGTTCGGTATCTGTCTACTCTTATCTTTCTTTGTTTCTTTTTCTTTTCAAGATTTATTTATTTATTTGAGAGAGAGAAAATGGAGGGGGAAGGGGCAGAGGGGGAGAGAGAATCTCAAGCAGACCCCGTGCCGAGTGCAGAGTTCCATCTCAGGACCCTGAGATCATGACCTGAGCTGAAACCAAGAGTCAGATGCTCAGCCGACTGTGCCCTGCGGGTGCCCCTCTTTTAAGGATTTAGTATGCAATTGTTGATCATCTCAGTTGACTCAGAGGAGAAGCTTGGACAGATGGTGTCCAAGTAAACTAAACTTCTGTCCTGTTCTTGGACTTAATATCCATTATTGAATGTGGCACATTAGCCTTAAGACCTAAAACAACGATGGCGCTTCTTGTATTCTGTTCTCCTCAGTAAACCTCAGGACGCATGGAAGCTGGACTGAATCCTAGTGATGCTTGAAACTGGATATTTTAACCTTCTTAATCTAGGCAAAGGATAAATTAGATTGTGCTCATTCTAAGGCTTATTGACAACCCAGCTGGGCATTTTTTTTTTCCTTCTTGGCCAAGGCAAAAATTACTTCAAATGGAATATAGACGTTATGTTTCAGGAAGATAATTATGTCACGTGTGAGTATAAAAGAAATTGTGCCATCATATCATTTTAAAATTTCTGTTATATCCAGAGTAGTCCCGTAGAATCAGCCCATTCAGATATCTGCCTGGGTAACAAGATTCCCAAACGTTTGTAGGAAGTGTCACTCCTAGTGGTTAATAAATGCGCCTAATATGATAAGGTATTTCTAGGGACCATGCTTATCTTCTTCTTTTTTATGTATGGGCTTACTGAAGATCTCCCAGACTTAGGAAGGAAAGTTATTGATTTGTCATAGCAGCAGGAGGGCTAGAGAATGATTCTTACACTGGCTTAGCTGGAGCCTGATGAGTTGGCACTGTTTTGTGTAGAGCAAATATTCTCAGTGGGTGCGATTTATGGGAACATGTAGGCCATATTCTGCATGATTACTGGTGGGGCATTTCCCAGAGTGGGACAAGCTGCTTCACATGACAGAATGACAGGTAGGTTTCATAGCAGCCGTTCACTAGCTTTTACGCAAAACACCTGGGCTCCGGTCATTGGGCTACTTTTTATTAAGCTTGTTACACAGACCATATGATTGAAAGAAAAAGCCATGCTGTCCCAGAGGTATTAAATTGGTATAAACTGAGCTGGAGCTAGTGGTGTTAAGGTACAATCATTACTTTAAAGGTCTTTCCTTTAGATTTCCAGATCATAACAGTTTGGGGATGACATAGAGGTTGTGTGAGAAAAATGTGCCTCATCTCCCTTGTAAATGAAAAATTCATAAGAATCTGCAGTCTGACCTGTCATTTCTGATGCTAGAACTACAAGAGACTTAATAAACTTTGTTTTATTTCACCAAATTAGATCACATATGTTTATACCTTTTTACCACTGGCTTTTCTCTACATGAGAAAGCATCTGGGATTTGCACTAGTAATTATTATATATAAGAGTTTCAGAAGTTGCTTTTGTAAAATCCTGAAATTCTGGGGCTTATTTAGAAGTCATAAAGTCAAATCCACATGTCTAGAATTTGCCTAGAACAGAAGTTGTCCCGGTTAGGTGGGGAGGAAGGAAGGAATCAGGAACATGGACGGATGAAGATGGATGGATGCTGAAGTTTTCTTTCCAGCTGGTGGAGATGAGAAAGAGTGGAATCCATCCTGGCATGTTGGCACAGTTGTTAAATACGTCCTCACAGGAAGTCTTCTGACGTCTGGCCCTGACGATACCCACAGGCTGGGTTTGCCTTGTCTGCTGCCTTCTGCTTTGCTAGCTGGAGAATGTTCCACGGGGGAATGTAACAGATTGTGAAGTATTAATCCTATATGGCTGCATCTTCTTTCTCTGTTTCTTGGTAGCCGAGATTGGGGATTTTGATGAAGCATCGGACAGAGAGCATTTAGCAAAAAACAAGTACATACCTCAGCAAGATGCACTAGAAGACAAAATCGTGGAGTTTCACCACAATCACATGTAAGTCCCACTGGGTGCCTCGCGTTCCCTTTGCACTGTTTCTCTCTGTCCTTCCAGCGTAGGTGGGTGTGCACACACGCTAACTTTTGGGATGAAATATGCCAAGGGTGAGGGAGAAGAGCACAGAGGTTCATGGAGCTGTTGTTACTCACCCTGGACTCTCAAATGCAGGTTACCTACTTAAGATCAGAGCTCTAGGCTCCTTTGATTTCCTGTGCTGCTGGAATAGGCCTGGAATTTAGGACACCCATGTTGTGGAATTAAAGGGAGAATGTAAGACCAATTAACAAGAAATCAGGAAAGGGATATGGTCAACGAGGGGCCAAGGAGGAATGTTATGAAAATCTAGAACCTTTGTATCCTCTCCGTTTTGTTTTTTTTGTCTTGATCGGTATAATATTTTTCAAAAGATGCTCTGGGCCTACTGTTTTTGTTGCTGTTCTTAAGGAGGGTACTTGAGCTTTGATGATCGTACGCAAGAATGTTGTCTTGAACTTTGCTTCCAAGTGTAGGCCCATGGTAAGTTACTAAAAACATGTTTTAACACCATGGTGTTTTGCTTTTATATGACCTTAAAGGAAACTTTGAGATTCCAAAAAAGAACCAGGGTAAATGTGAGATAGACTTTTGGGGTTTTGTGTTACACAGGCAATGGGGCTTTTGTCCTAGCTGCTCGACTTTGGGTGATAATGAATGGGGGGTTGGGTGTCATCTGATCAGGTAGCTCCATTGTTTGTGATGAAATGCCTTTTTATTTCCCGAGAGAAGTTGCTTAATTTCAAATTAATAGACACAGGGAATTCAAATCTCCTGGCCTTTCTCTTTAATATTTGTTTTGTCAGTGGACAAACACCAGCAGAATCAGATTTCCAACTCCTGGAGATTGCCCGTAGGCTGGAGATGTATGGGATCCGGTTGCACCCAGCTAAGGACAGGGAAGGCACTAAGATCAACCTGGCTGTTGCCAACACGGGAATTCTTGTGTTTCAGGTAAGAGTGTTTAAAACACAGCTCAGTTCCCTAGGTGATGGAAAGATAAGAGTTGGCCCTTCAACTCTGATTCCATGTTGGGTGAGCCAAGTTAAGACCTCTTGACAGTTACTTTTAGGTGAACAGGAAAAAACTAACCTCATCTCAGGGTTTCAATTTCTTTCCAGGCCCTCAGCTTTCAGATCCTATTCCATTGGCCCTTGCTCTGGTTGGGAAATGCACAATTCGAGATTTGCTTGTGTCTGTTGACTTTGTAAGATCACAGAAGTCTCTCTCAGTGGACCTCTGCTCAAAACCCAGTATAGTAGAATCAAGATTTTACATCCCCCCCCAAATAAACACCTTCTTCACACTGGCACATGATACTCCGGTCATCTCCCCCCTTCCCCCCCCTTTTTTTAACCTGTTAAGGTTTTTAGTTGCTTTTTTTTTTTTTAAACAAATTTAGGGGTTTTTAAACCTAATTTAGGTTTTACCTCAGTCGGCTGATCTGTGATTTCAGGTATACATAACTTAAAAAGAAAAGCGTATTTTTTAGGATTTAGTAGTTTTATAAATTCCTAAAAGCCGGGTGCTATAGTAGGTTTGTAGTAAAACACTACACTTGAATTCACCTGTGTTTTACTTAAGGATGAAGTTTTCTGTACTCTGAAATGTGTACTCTCTTGATCACACTGCTGTTGTACTGTTGATCAGTGCTGCTTTTTGTTTCTTAACAGCTTCATTGAGGTATTATGGACGTAGAATAAAGTGCATATATTTGAAGTATGCAGTTTTGTAAGTTTAAATATATATATATATATATATATATATATATATGCATGCCATCAATGAAATATATATATATCCTGAAGCCATCAATGAAATCAAAACAATGAACATATTCACCGCCCCCAAAGGTTTCCTCAGTGCTTTTCTTTTAAACAAAAGCGAGTCATCTGTGCTTTGGTTTCAAAGGGGTACAGAGAAAGTGTCTGCCTTTTAAATTGGGTCATTTTCACCTGTTTTGAAGGTGTAAATATGTACATAATCTAAAATACTTCTTCAGGCTCTGCCAGGTTCGGTTATATTTTCCCTTCCTATTTTACCAAAATAGTCCCAGGGCTTCTCTTCTCCAGTATCAGATGTTTACGACGGACATGAATTATCCCAGAATGCTGTCCCAAGAGGAGCCGAAGTTGGGTTTCATATGGGAAAGGTGTTGGAGGAGGTGACTGCTCTTAATAGTCTCTGACCTGCTGAAAGAGTCTTAGGAGTAGTCAATGAGCAAAATGACAATAAACCAAATAGAGTTTTCAGTCCTACCATGAAATTTTATAATCAGAAGCCTTAAACATTTCTAAAAGTCATAGGTTGGGGGGAAGAAGTGCCTCACAATTGAATTAATTCGCTTTGATTATGTGTGATAGAGTCTAAATATTGAGAATTGCTCAGTTATTTAATCATGTACAAAGTCTGTATCTTGGAATTAATCTTCTTGCCAGTCCTTAATTGCTTCATTCTTACCAATTTAAGTAAAGGGTTCTGGTGTTCAAGCAGGCTCAGGAGGAATTCTAATTTTAGTGGAGATGACAGGACAGATGGGAGCTGGTATCTGGCAACGTCCCCTTGCTTCTCCATCACCCTGGCTCTCCACACCTGACTTTCAAAGATGAGGACGTGTGAGTCCTTCCCTGAGACTGTTCTCGGGTCTAGAAGACACGCCGCAGGCCGGGCCTCCCTTCCCCATCTACCTATGTGATTGGCAGCCTGCTGGGCGTGGGAGCCAGACCTGTGCGTGCCGTGGGGTTGCTCGCTAACCTGCTGTGTTGCTTTATAGAGATTAACAGTTAGCTGCTGGCTAAGGCACATGCTCGGGAATCTCGTTCGGCCACATGAAGTGTGTGATTTTGGACAAATTAAAATCTGTCCATGAAGCAGTTTCCACATCTGTAAGAGAAAGATAATAAAGCCGCCTCCCTGGGTATTGTCTAAGGTTTGATAAGATGAGGTCTATAAAGTCCTTACGGGGAGCTTGGCACTCCGAAAGTGATGGTCACTAATTATTGTGGTGGTGGTTGTCATGGTTTTTATTGTTTTTTGTCTTTCTTTTTATCCTTCCCTTGGCCGGCTGCTCCTCTCCCTGGAGGCAAACTTAGTTTGAATGCCAGAGCCTATAATTAGTGAAAAATAATGCTCCAGGAACAGGAATCATCCACAGCAGCAAATCCTGAGAACCCTCTAGCAGAAGGCCTTCTTACTGAGCATTCGAACGACAGCTCCCCATACCCGAGGCAAACAACCCCCATGTTGCATATTATGCATCTCCTGGCTCACTGGCTGATACCTTTCTTCTTCTCAGGGTTTCACTAAGATCAACGCCTTCAACTGGGCGAAGGTGCGGAAGCTGAGCTTCAAGAGGAAGCGCTTTCTCATCAAGCTCCGCCCTGATGCCAATGTAAGTGGGTGGGGGCGGGGGGTGGGCAGATCCAGACCTCGGAGCCCACCCGGTGATTCCGGGGATGGAAGGGCTCTGCTAGGGCACAGGCTGGAACTGTGGCCAGCACTGTGCCGGTGTCTGAGGGTCTGCACCCAGAGGCGTGCCCGGATGCTCAGTAACCACACTTTCACCTGCGCAGACAGAGCGAGGGTAAGGAGTGTGCGGCGCCCCGCCCCCTGCATAGCCTGACCTATATAGTTGCTGGGGTGCCCGCCTCTGGGCCACCTTCTTGAGACCGCACTTAGCACCCACCAGATTCGGGGCTGACCCCTGCCCACACAAGCCCCCAACTGTCCCCAGCGTTCGTGTCCTCACTTGTCCCCAAGTCTCTGACAACGCGTTCTCACAGGCTAACAAGCAGGCCCACCCCAGTTCCTGCAGAACCCCTGAAGACGTCGCTCACCCCAGGACGGGGTCAGGGAAGAAAGAGCATCTTCTTCCCCTGCCGGACATGGGCAGTGGAGGACATGGATGATAAATCTCTGATGCCCCCAACCAGAACTTGGAGTGGTTTTTTTTTTTTTTTTTTTTTTCCCATGGAAAAGAAAAGATGATAAATGGCCATCTGGTCTTACCGGTCAGCTACAGAGTGGATTAAATCAGCTTTTATGGCCTGACCCAGGAAGCAGCCACCCATTATAAGTTGTTTTCTATGGGAAAATGCTTTTTGAGTTCCAAAAGGCTACTTACAAATGCAGAATTGTGGCACGCTTGTTTGTAAGTTGGGACTGCCCAGAACTGGGAGAGCCCTCAAAATAGTTGGAATTGCTGGGAACATTGAGGACTGTTTGAAGTCCTGTTTATAAAATATGGCCACTTACATTGAGAACGTTGAGACTGGGAATAGAAAATTACACTATCCACTTTCCAGACTCAAAGGACATGATTTTTTCAGCCTTGAGGGATACTTTTGTGCTCCAGAAAAAAAATGTTCATTTCCTGTGTGGTCCCTGGGGCCACCTGGAGGCTTGAGCCATATGTGGCTTGACAGAGAAAAGACCTAAGACCAATATGCAAAGTTGGCATGAACCTTCAGGAAGAAAATAGAATGAAGAAGTGTGTTTCAGTTATTTTAAGGGGGCAAAAGGATTTTTTTTTTTAAAGATTTTATTTATTCATTTGAGACACAGAGTGAGAGCATGAGCAGGGGGAGAGGCAGAGGGAGAAACAGGCTCCCCGCTGAGCCAGGAGCCCGATGCGGGGCTCGATCCCAGGACCCTGGGATCATGACCTGAGCCGAAGGCAGACGCTTAACCATCTGAGCCACCCAGGTGCTCCAAAAAAGGGATTACAGTGCTTGGATTTTTTTTTTTTTAAAGAAGGAAATGTAAGGTGCATACACAAAATTTGTTTATGAATTCTGTCAAAAGAAATGTTATGACTTCTGCTAAGTATTCCTATTTTCTTTAGTTCCTCTAAGGAATTCTTTGGGGGGAAAATGGTTGAATGATGACTTTATTTTGTCATTAGGAACAGCTTTATTTTATTAAACATGTGAATTTATGGTCCTGCTATATAATAAAATACACAATTGAAATTTTATTGGACATATTTTGTTTTCTGTCCCTTTTCTCATTTTTCAACCCAATGTCCACGGGTAATGGGAAAAAAAAAAAAAAAAACACAGCGGTATTTTCTCTTTTTAGAGCTCGTACCAGGATACCTTGGAATTTCTCATGGCCAGTCGGGATTTTTGCAAGTCCTTCTGGAAAATCTGTGTTGAACATCATGCCTTTTTTAGACTTTTTGAAGAGCCCAAACCAAAGCCAAAGCCCGTTCTCTTTAGTCGAGGGTCATCGTTTCGGTTCAGGTAAGGATTTCCTTTCACACCTCTGTTTGCCATGGGAACATTCCCAAGACTTGCCTTTATTCTAATTCAGACAGGATTTCCTTTCTCTGTAGAAGCAAGTGTAAAACTTCGGTGTAGCCTCTTGGAACGCCGCATAGACTTGCACATCATTGGTTCACTTTCTCACTCATTCTTTCAGCAAACATTTGAGTGTTCCACATGTCAAATCCTAGTCTGGGCCTTGGGGATGCACAGTGAACAGATTTATCCCCGCCTCCTCGAAGCATACAGACTCTCGGGATGGTTGCTTAATAAGCAAACGCAGAATTATTAAGGGGTGTTATCACTGGAACACTGTTATTTAGAAGGGAAATACCAAGAGATGAAATGGGCACATACAGTGTCTCTCAGAGGTCGTCTCTCCCGGTGATGGCAGGAGGGGAAGGAAAGATGGGGTGGCGTGTGTTTAAATAAGAATGCCGCCTCCTCTTCCGTCTCTTCCTCTTCCTTCTAGTGGTCGGACTCAGAAGCAGGTTCTTGACTACGTGAAAGAAGGGGGACATAAGAAAGTGCAGTTTGAAAGGTAAGGGAAACTTCGATGCCACTTCTGATTTGACAAGAGTCATTCCTCTAGGTGACAGTGCATTCCTGCTAAATCTCTCTCCACCCAGGCCTGGTGGGTTACCAAATGAGTGCTTCATAGGGCCCCTGGGCCGGTGTGGTGTAGACAGAAACATCTGAGCACTGGGGCGCTTCCTCAAGGGCGAGGTGAGATGCGAATGGACCTCGGAGGGCCAAGTGAGGAAGAAGAGGAAGCCAGCCGAGAGCGGGATGGAAGAGGAGCAGGAGATTGTGGTGGGGATAAAACACTCTAGAAACTTCCTCTTCCAGGAGTCCTTAAGTATTTTGGGATTTGAATAGAGAGTATTTCTATAAACTTTTAATGAAATGCAGCTTGGATGAGAAGCAGCAGTGTTTAGAGCTGTCGTTAGCAAATGCTTCCAGCCCTTGCTAGGTTCCACGCACTTTGCGTGTATTAACTCACAGTCTTCAGGCCAGCTCCGTGAGGTCAGCGGGCTCCTCGTCCCCTTTTTCTTTTTTTTAAGATTTTATTCATTTATATTAGAGAGTGCAAGGGGGCAGGGGGAGAGGGAGAGAAGCAGACTCCCTGCTGACGGCGGAGCCGGATCCCAGGACCCCGAGACCGTGACCTGAGGGGAAATCGGGAAGTCGATGCCTAACCGCCTGAGCCCCCTAGGCGCCTCTCTCCTGTTCCCTTTTTAAAGATGGAAACACCGCAGCTCAAAGAGATTGAGTTACTGGCCCACGTCACAGAGCTGGCAAGTGGCCCCCTGCCCCGAGCATGGCTCTGCTGCCCTGAGAGGGGAGAAGCAGAGAATTCAGGGATAAGATAAAAGGGTAAACGGCAGACGTGATGATGCACTATGGGCTGTTTAGTGCATGTGGATTTATTTTTCTTTGTTTTTAAAGATTTTATTTATTTGACAGAGAGACAGCCAGAGAGGGAACACAAGCAGGGGGCGTGGGAGAGGGAGAAGCAGGCTTCCCGCTGAGCAGGGAGCCCGATGCGGGGCTCGATCCCAGGACCCCGGGACCATGACCTGAGCCGAAGGCAGACGTTTAACGACTGAGCCACCTAGGCGCCCCTGGATTTCTTCTTTTGAACATTTTTCTTTTTTACATTTTAATCCATCTTAAAATTAAAGTATGGAGAACACAGCAAACATCCACATTTCGTTTGTTCCTGGGTTTTTTTTCCCTTTTTGTGTGTTAACTGCTGTTGGGACAGATGTAGCTACACCCCCCCCCCCACACCCAACAACCCTTCTCCCCTTCAGAGGCGACAGCCATCAGCTTTGTGTTACTCCCGTTACACATATTTATGCATCTAAAAGGAATGTGCAGGATTTCTCTGCGGTGTGCTGTTTCATTTGTTTAGTAGCACACTGTACCTAATTCTGCATCTCGCTTTTTAAGCCCTACCCTGATCTGGGGCTCTGTGTTGGCGTTTTAGGGTATTGTGAAAGTATCACATTGTATTTATCTCCGATTCTCTGTTGACAAACATTCGGGGTGCTCGGTGCTTTGCTTTACCCTTGCCGAAACCTGATGCTGTGACCGTCCTTGTGTATTTGGAGTATTTTGAAGAAAAGCTGAATGTACATTAGCATTTGATCTCTCTGTATTTATACAGTTTTGTCGTCTGAGTAGCTGAAAAGTTTCTAAAGCTTGTTCATGGAGGAAGAGGAGGGCACCGGCAGACTAAGGAAGGGAAACGATAAAGGAGACGTGCTAGTGGCATTAAATCCAGTTCCTTCTGCTGAGACTGTAAATTCATTAATGGGGGCAGGCCTTCCCTGAACTCAACACTGAAAGAGTTGGCTGATTAGTGATGATTGCCTCTATTACAGAACTGATCTAGAAAATCATTACCCAAAATACATGAACTGATACATTGTCAGACCAGAACTTGCACTTCAGGACATCCTCGGGCCCAGCTGACTCTCCCTCCCATTGACCTTTCTAAGGACTAGAAAAGTAGTGAACAGTGGCTGGGCTTCCTTGAAACCTGAGCAGGGGATTGCTGGGAATTTTTTCAGAGTTTAACCCCTGAACCCCACAGGTATTAGGAAAAGAATGACTCCCTTTCCATGGGGCATCCATACACACTACTTTAGGTGCCTTCATACTGAAGAAGGGCATAAGGCTGTTGATATTTTTCATTTAAAACAACAACAAGGGAAGAACCCAGCTTATCTAACTGGCTATCTTATGTGATTTCTCCCAGGAAGCACAGCAAGATTCAGTCCATCAGAAGCCTGGCTACACAGCCTACAGAGCTGAATTCAGAAGTGCCAAAACAAGTCAGTAATGCTGATCAACTATTATAACTGGGGGGGTGGGGGGGTGGTTTTGTTTCACCAAACTTTCTCTGTTAAGTACTATGTTTCATAGTATGTTTCTGAGTTATTTGCCCTTCACCTTTGGGGTTTCTTTTTGTAGAGAAGAGTATAGTTGTGTGCCCTGGCTTTGAGCAGACGCAGGCTGTGTGCACCCCAGCCTGGACTCACCGTGCCCTGGAGTGGGTCCTTTTTCAGCTGACTTTCTGTCTTCCATCCCATGCTTTTGCCACAGAGAAGTTTGCTCTGTTGGCCTGAACTCAGCTTAGGAGTGGAACCACCCACAGGAGCCAGGAGAGCGGAGCCCACTCTCCAGCTAAATGGGTGTGGTTGTATGAAGATACTGGGACCTCCTTTGCACCTGCTGGGTGTAGCTCCCATTCGGGGCCAAGGTCAGAACCCTTTGTTGGCACCAGACTCGGTGGTGAGTTCCCAGGACTCCTGTTACAGGGCAGTGACCGCAATTGGCAACAAGAGACATTATCACTCCTGCCCTGAGGATGGTGAAAGCTCATTTTCTCTGGAATTGGCCTCTGGATGTGTTTTCCGGGTTTTCTGTATAAGAGAATGCCAACTTTGTCGGGGAAGAACATGAAGATTTCCTTTATGCATCTAAAAAGAGTGCCTAACCTGGCTGTTCTTCTCTTAGAAGTATAAACAGAGTTTTTGTCCTTTGTCTGAAATCCATGTCAACTTGCCTTTGGGGGCTGGCGTCCCGCCATGTGTTTTCTTCCTCTCCCCACCCACCCTTTCTTGGGAAGCCCCCTGTGGGTTGCAAGGATTCTCTTGTTCCACGGAAACTTTGGAAACCCACTGTGAGCCCAGGGGCCCTAGAGAGCAGACAGGCAGTGGCCCACTCGTGCTGCTGGAGACCCTGCATCGTCAGCATCCACACGCAGAGAGAACTTTCTGGATGCTGACCAAATTCACTCGGGTGCGCCTGCTCCTGGGCAATGTTTTGTTTGAGCAGCGTGGAAGGCAGCCTTTACTTGGCAGTCCTTCCGGCTGCTTGAAGCTTAAGGGGTGTTGCCAAATTAGCCTCTGACCTCCCCCTCCCCGCTTTCAGCCCCCGTGTAACCCTCCCTCTCTCTCGCCCCGCCCCGCGCAGGCGCAGCAGAGTGCCGGCCTTCCCGCAGGAGAGGGCCCGGAGCCCGCCGGCGGCCCGGGCGGCCAAGGTGGCCCGCAGGGAGAGGAGCCCGGCGTCTCGGCCGAAGAGCCGCGCCAGAGCCCCGCGCTGCCCCAGAGCCCCGCGGGCGGCGGGAAGGTGGACGGAGGCGCGCGGGCGCCGGCCGACGAAGAGGAGGAGGCCGTTCAGGATAGGACCCAGCAGAGTAAAGCTCAGCCCCCGCAGCCGAGCACAGGTCCAGCATCCAGGGCTGCCAGAGGCAGCAGCACTTCCATTCCTTTCATTGACTGCAGTGACGTAGATAGTGAATCCGACCTGCTCAGGGAGCAAGTGTCCCAGTCACAGTCCCAAACAAATGACAATTATGAGGGTGATTTGACCAGTGGGGTTTACCTGCTCTCCAGGGATGAGAGGCAGACCGAGCCTAGGCGCAGGGCTTCCCCTCCCTCCGTGAAGTCCTCCCGGCCTCCTTCCAGAGAGTTCCTTGATGATGATTCTGCAGACCTAACCTTTGATATGAATGGGAGCCCCCGACTCCCAAGACACAGCTCCCTGATAGACGAGCTGTTCAGGGGCTCAGATGGCCACAGTACCCCGGCCACCCCACTGTCTCCTGTTAGCAGACAGTCGAGTCCAAATATGAGTTGGGACAGGACCGGGTCTCAAGGCTATATCTCCGAAAACGGGCATGACCCGAGAGAGGAAAGTGTGGGAGAAGATCCTCTCCCAAGCCAGGGTCCTCCTTACGAAAACTCTTCCCCTGTCTTACAAAGGCCGTACTTACGGAATCTCCCCAGTAGATATAATAAGTCGGAGACAGACCCGCTCATCCTTAGCCAGGTAGCGTCAACCCCAGAGGCATTGGGTGGGCTTGATGGCCATGAAAAGGGAGGACTGACCAGCCTGGCCGCTTCAGGAGGTAGAATGCTGGCTAATGGTGCACCTCTCGTGGCTCCCACCTCAAAGACCCCTGCCATGCGGTCAGCATGTGCCGGGGGCATGGCGGGTCCGCGGGCGCCCCTGCACGTGACCGAGGGCTCCACCAGCAGCGGAACTGAATCCGGTGATTCAGACTCTGAAATGGGGACCCCTCTGAGCCAGCCACTCACATTTGGCAACCCAGCAGTGCTGGGCTCCCCTTCCATGCTCAGGAGTCAGAAGCACTTGGGTGGCCTGCACATGAGTGAGGAGGAAGAGGAGAATGAGTAGGAGGGCCAGGCTTCAAGTGTTGGGAACCTGGAGTCATGAGTCCAGGCTTCCAGTGGCGATGATCTGTCCTAGCGACTAATCTTTAATCAACGTTTGTTAGAGGAAGTTTTGGACAGCCGTGTTTGCATAGAATAGGCCTGACTCTAAAATCCTTAAGAAAAAGGAAACTTCACACAGTGGGGTTGCTTTCCAAAAAAAAAAAAAAAAAAAAAGGTGGACAAGATAAACAGGAAGACATGATGACAAGTTACCAGGAGCTTGTTTATCTTTCTGGTTTAAGGTGAGGAAGAAATACGTTCTTATGAATCTGATCTTGTGTATAGGGTGTGGTATTTATGTGGAAATCTTCTGTGTGTATTGAGTTTGTGTGCAGATCACACTCCTGTTGATTGAATGTTTGGACTGAAGTATCATTGAGATCCCAGGAATGGTGTTGGTTTTACTTTTTCCCCCTTCTTTAAGAGGAGGTGCTGCTTTTCGGAGCCTCATAAAGGAAGGGATTAACATAATTCAAGACCGTTTGTAAATTGATTGCTGGTTGAGATTAAGGGTTGGTGAAATCTTTGTCAAGATTAATGAACGTTTTAATAGGGAGAATAGTCTTTCTTTTTCCCAGACTTTATATGAAATGATGTAAAGGATGTCAGGTAGAATTAATTTATAAGGGATCGCTGGTTTGGTTGGGATTTGCATCAGTCGGTCAAATTGTTAGCTATGTTTTAAGCTATAACTCTGGCTGTCAGAATTTTTAATTGAAACACAGAAATGCTATTGAGTGATGATGCAGGGGAAAGTCAGACCTCGCTATAGGCACTGTTGTTACCAGGCTGGCAAACTAAAGGCCTGCCTTTGAATCATGTGCAGCAGAGAGAAGGACCGTTTCCCAGTATTGCTGCTCCTTGGCTGGTTATCATGTACATTCTTAATGTTCACACTTGGGTGAACAGTGTCTTTTCTTGGGAACAGTGACTTCTAGAAGTTTCTATGTGCAGGAAAAAAGTGTACGTAGTGAGAGGTTTTGATTTCTTTTTAAATCTTACCCACCTCTGACAGTGCCTTTCACTCAGCATTCCTGCATCTTAGATCAAAGAGCCTGGTTTTAACTTGCTTGTTTCTCGGCCCCAGCTGCACAAGGGAATCACCTGGGACATTTTGAACATCAGTGATGCTTAGGCCCTGACCCCAGACATTTTTATCTCATTGGTCTGGGGTGCCACTTGGGTTCCCCAGGTGGTTCTGCTGGGTAGTCAGGGTCACTCCTCAGCCTGACACAGTTGCCTTCTAGAATCTGGTGGAATATGTTGAAACTAATAGGTAAATTTCTGGCTTGCTTGCAGAGTAAGGAAAGCATCACCAGTGAAATACTTTGATTAATTAATGCCTGTTATTTGGTATTTTGCAGTCTGTAGTACTTTTTTTAAAAAGATGAATTGTAGAATTCAATTTTTAGATCCTAAGTAACTACCAGATTATCGAAAAGAATTTTAACAGTGATATATCCCTGGCGTGCCACCATGCCAACTGCCTTACTAAACTTATCCAGGTGGCATGATGACAAGGGAAGAGCTACGCATGCTTAGGAAGCAGGGTAGAATTTGGCAGCCGTATATAACAAATAGACATATTAACTGACCTCGTGGCTCACAAATGATTATCTGTCCACATGAATGTTGACAAGTTGGTTTTGAAGACGCTGAAAACGTAATCCATTTTTATACAAACCTCTTTTTGTTGTTTAGTTTTCCTAATCATTTGATTCAGTGCATGATTGATGAATCAAACTGATTATTGGATAGTTTGAAAGATGTTCATTGAAGTAGTCTATTGATGTCTTGCTTTAGATTTATATATTTAACAGAGTCACAGAACTTTAAAACTAGAAGGGACCTTAGAGATTGTCTAGGGGAAACCTTCATTTTGTGGATGACAGACCTTGTTCTGTTGAAGCCGAGAGACTTCACATAGTCATACAGCTACTGCATGACGAAGCTAAACTAGAACCTTGACCTCTGTCTAGCCCTTCAGCTCTGGTCTGTGTGATCTCTTGGTGCAGTAGGACCTTTTTGATTCAGTACTTTAATTTTGGAGAATCTTTCTCAGATTAATAATTAAAATCAGATGTGGAGACCAGGGATCATGTAGACTTGACTTAGGCAGTTAGAGTCCATAATACGTAGGAAGAACTGCTTTTTCTGTTGTGGGTTTTTTGCACTTAACAATGTGTTTTTGCGTATTCTGTTTTGGACTTAGAAAAAGATGTTGATTTGCTGTATAAAAATTTAGTCAAATGTGAGTTAAGCAGAGTCACATTTGGAATTCTGTGGTTTATTTGTGAAGGTGATTTGTACAAATGAGTTTTCTTTTTACCTCTAATTACACAGCAGCCTGATGATGAAGTATGAATGAGCAATGGGTATTAACTTACCCAGCATACAATGTGAATCAGCAAATGTAAACCTCCAAAGCAAAACATGCTCCAGTAATTATTTTGTTTTGCTTTTTGCTTAAAGGAGTGATTTTGTTTGTTTTTATCTGAAGTATTTTGAAAACAGCTGATCAGTGGTAGTGTACTCAGTTCTGTATTGACAAACGTTCCCCTTTTAGAGTTGCTCATCAAGTTTTTCTCTGGTTGGTTTTGTACCAGCCAAGTGACTCAATTTCTGCTTCTGGGCCAGTATTTATGAAAGCAGCAATCCTGATGTGATTAATGGTGCTTAACAGAGAAGGGGTATGGTTTGTTCAAAAGCCACATAGCCTAAAGTGCTGAGAATATTCACTGATTGCCTCTGGGGGAGCTTGCTCTGCACTAGTAGATTCTAAGCATGGGTCGGGAAGTACATTTAAGCATTAAGCAGAGCCAGCTCGCACAGGAGACGTGGTCTCTCACTGTGCAGAGGTCAGGGAAAGCCCACACCCTCCCACCTTCTGCCTTCTGGGCGCCTCTGGTTCCCCGGGTCTTTACCTGGCCCCCAGAGCCTCACGGTGTGGCAGAGAAGGACATGCGTGCACACAAAGTTGAACCAAGGGTGCAGCAAGACCAGCAGTGGGGTTGGGTGTGAATAGGTGACCTGTGGATTCATTCCAGTTTCTAAAGGGTTTCCCAAGACCTGTCTGTCTGTTTTTCTAAGACAATAGCTAGTGCAGAAGGCTTCTGAGTCCATAAGGAGCCCAGGTCTTTAGGTAATAGCTGCTCTATGAAAGAGGATACCTTAAGGCCTTGGATAGAAGACATACCATCTATAGAAACACATCTTCCAGCCGCCAGCCCTCCTGCAGGGCCCCCTTGCATCCATGTCTTTTGTGAGATGGTATTTCAAAGTATGCAAATTGTAGCCCCTTTCGTGGTTGATTTTTGTTGTTGTTGCTGTTTTTCAGGACAAAATAAAATGCAAGAAATTCTTTTAGCATGAAGAAATGCATTTAATGAGTTCCGGAACTTATAGTGAACTGCTCCAGCTCCTTTGACAGGCATCTGTATGCCATTGACGATATTTTATTAGACAGGCATTTAATTGAAGTCTGTGGGCCAGATTCTTCCCCACATATGTGACTCATATTTGGGGATTTCTCACAGACTTAGCTCCAAATTGTGCCACGTGGCCCACACTTGAAATGTGAATAATTCTGACTTTATTCTGAAGAACTTCTTTGAAGATTCAGTTCCAGCAATACTTAAAAAAGCCAGGCTCACAAAACTAAAATACAGCCTGAGCCTCTTGAAATTTGCACCAAGTATACAAAGTCCAGTCTGTCCTCTATTGAATCAGAAACTCAGCTTGCATATTAGCATCGGAATCCCTTTGATTGTGTGGTGAAGTGGTATCTAAAAGAAGGAAAAATTAATGAGATTAAACTGTCATTTTAAATTTTGTTAAAACTTGTGCATATGCGTACAGCATCCTTTTTTGTATCTTAATAATCAGTGTTCACATGCTTTCCATCAACTTTTTCCACTTAATATGTTATTCCATGTTCAGCACAGAATGAGTTTGGTGCAGTTGTTGTCATGAGTCAATGATTGGCCCA